CCCGTGAGACGCTCCCTGCACAGTCCTGGTGAGAGGCAGCCTTCACAGGCTACAGCAATGGTGAGAGCTCCGTGGAGACCCTAGAGAGCCCTTGTTACGTACCTTCTGGGAGACCGGATGTGAGAGGAGGCTTCCCTTGCACCTTGTTTCCTGGGAGACTCTGAGGATGGGAACAGAGCCCAGCGGGACAACAAGTGGCAGGAGTGCCAGTGGTGTTGAGCACCGTGCAAGCCGTAATCCAATGGGCAATCCGAGGTCAGGTTCCAAGCGGGCAATTCCAGTACAAAAGGGGTCAAGCAGAAGAATGGTCAAATAACAGTTCCGTGGTCAAGGCAGGCAGAATTCAAGGTGTGTCTAGGAAGTCTGGGTCACAAGGATCAAGCAAGATATCAACAAACTGGAACAAGGATTAGCTGACAATAAACCAGCAACATGGTGGTACTGCTGCTGGGTTTATATAGGGCCAGTGATGTAATTTCCTGTGCGCCATCATGGCAGATTTTCATGCTGATGGATTACTGCTTCTGCGCATGCGCGGGATGGCACATCTTCTTCCGCGCAGGTTACTGTTTCTGCGTTTCATGCGCAGATGGCGGAGATCCATTACAGCCCTGTGGAGACCCTAGGGTGCCCCGGTTTAACCAGGGCTCTGTGGGGTCTCACCAGCTGTCTGTGGGGTCTAACAAGGCTGGTTAGACCCCACAGAGCCCTGGTGAGACCCCCTCAGAGCCCTGGTGATTCTCCAGAAAGATTTGGCGAGACCCCACAAAGCCATTGTGAGACCCCATGGAGCCCTGGTGAGACCCTATGGAACCCTGGTGCTTGTGAGACCCGACATCGCCCTGGTGAGACCAAGGCTCTGTGGGGTCTCGCCAGGGCTCTGTGGGGTCTCACCAGGACTCTGTGGGATCTAACCAGCCTTGTTAGACCCCACAGTCCCCTGGTGAGACCCCACAGAGCCCTGGTGAGACCCCCTCAGAGCCCTGGTGATTCTCCAGAAAGATTTGGCGAGACCCCACAAAGCCATGGTGGGAGCCCTGGGGAGACCCTACGGAGCCCTGGTGCAGGTGAGACCCCACATCACCAGCCTGGTTAAACCCCACAGAGCCCTGGTGAGACCCCACAGGCCTGAGCGGGGCCTCATGTTTAGGTTTCGCCTAAGGCCTCGCAAACTCTAGAGCCGACTCTGTCAGCATTATAGCAGGACTAAAACCACTCAATACTCACCTACCCTCCAGTGTCCTCAGCTCCTTTGGCCATCTTGATTGGCCAGGCCGGGATTAAATAACTTCTGTGCATGTACACAGGAGTTCAGTTATCCTGGCACTATGGCGGGATGACTTAACAGTAAGCTGTGCATCTCATTGTGCATTCTAAAGCATCTTACGAAAAAGAAGGTAAGAAACCTTGATTGCAGAAAAGACATAGTATGTCTCGACTGCATTAAAAATCCTTCCTGCTCGCAAGTTTCTAGATTCAGGGAAAAGTTCCTCTTTCAAGTGGTATTAACCCTAGTGATAAAAACTAGCATCACGTAGCCAAATTTATATGTAAGCATGTTTGATTATCCAATTTTCAATATCTTCAATACAGCCCGTGATCATTGTTTCCAGTGGTGCCATTTACTAGTGCTGTCTCAGTGAAGACACTGCTGCATGTGCAAGGACTGTACTGATATGTCTAGTCACTCTGTGTGCTAGAAAACACAGGCAGCTCAGAGAGACAGACCGTCTTGTAGAATGTGTTTTATAAATGAGTTTGTATTGTATTTGGAAAATGTTGCTGATGTCATTGCAGTGTTTGGCGAAGGTTCTGCCTCCTATTGTTTGTTACCTGGCTGGGGAATGGGTGTGGGAAATGCTCTCTGTCGTCCTTATAGGGGGTTGTTGATGCAAAAGAGGTATTCTGTGTGTCTTTGTGTAGACTTTTTGGATCTCTGTCCTGGGTACTACAGAGTTGAGGAATGTGCTTTGAAATCATCAGCTGAGTGTTTGTAAATACATATGGATATTTGGGCCTGGAATCTCACTCTTGTCTTGAGAAGTTGTGATCCTTGAAAGGGACCTGTGACCTAGCCACCTTCCTGCCCACCTGCTATGATTGATAACTCAGAAAAAATGTGTTCATTAATCGTCAGGTAGCACAGAGAGGCTGGAGCTTAGTGGGATCTGTTATCCACCCTGGTGTTATGATTGACAATTTAGCAAAAAGGTATTCTTTCATCGTGCATGCGCAATACCGATGGAAATGTGAGTAATCATGGGACATGGGGTCCCACTGGCACCCACTGAGGAGAGAAAGTGTGCACACTTCCATACCAGAAGTTATGGAAAGCACTGCACACAGCAGACTGAGCTGTGCACATATGAGACAAGTAGTTCCAACATTTCCAATATGAGTCATGGTAAAATAAGTGATTTAGTGAAACATAAAATGCATATTTATAGAAAGGATTTTAAATACTAAATGTAAAAATTACTTTTTTCTCTATAAGGGATTTTATGCAATAAACTTTATTGGGTTTTGGATGTTAACATTCCAACAGATTATTTCACAAGATCCTTGGGTTGGAAATACGAGAGGACATCCTAAATTTAGTATCACTATAATTTCTCCTGCATAATGTTAGCATTGCATTAACATGTCTTGTTGTCTAGCTAATAGTATTAAAATGTGTTTTAATAGTTTGTGGGCAGTATGTTTCCAACAATGTCTCTAAAATAAGATGGATTTTTATCGTGTGCATTCTCTATAGTGCCTTTTTGTGTTATCACCTGCCATTTGCGGTGTCTTAAAAACTGGTGTGGTGAGATCACAGCACTTGGCATATCACATATAACTTTTGCTGTAGTCTTTGGGTATCAGACATGTCACTGCTGTTAAAGCATTTCTGCTAAGTGTGCTTGTGACAGTGCAGCAGGTCTGATCCAGCTGCACATCAGCAAGGTGTGACAATATGCAGTTCCGATCCTACCATGCCGTCACCAAGACATGATGATACCTCTCTCAGCTTCACCGTTCACAGAGATTATCCAGCTCATGGGACAAAAATCTAAGGCCAGCAGAGTGAGAGCGATCATCACTGGGGTTGGGTTAACTCCACAGTTATCCCTTTACCAAAAAAAGTAGCTTCCACCACGGGTTTTACCTGAACGCGCACCGTTGCCAGCAAAATGCTGTGACAATTCAAAATCTTAAATCTTACTTAGTGCTTTACAATGCCCTGCCATAAAAAAATTATAAAGTTAATGGCAAAACAACTCGGTACTTAGCAGAATGTGGAATTTGAAGGATTTTCTTTTGAAGATCCTTTGACCAGAAACATGCATGTTTAATCTGTATCTGATTTAATGATATCCAGAAATAGCTTATTCCAGCAACTGAGGGGACAAGGGAATTTCCTAATTAGTATTGGGGTGCCCAGACCTCATTACCACCATAGTGCTCCTTTCTGTAAACGGTATTGCAATGTAATTTGTAATTTTGTTAGCTACATATGTAAAAAGATACCTTCACAGGTAGTCAGTGTAAATGCCCCCCCTCCCCATACATTGGTGGTCGTTGGAAAGCAGCTCTCTTACATTGGTGGGTAGTGGAAAAATGCCTGTTTACCTTGGTGGTCAGTGCAGAAGTGCTCCATTATATCGGGGATTAGAGGAAAAAGGCACCATTATATACTGGCGGTCAGTGAGGTGCCTCTTTTACACTGGTGACCACTGAAGTGGTCCCCATACATTGACTGTCAGTGTAGAAGTTCCCCCTTACACTGGTAGTAAGGGAAGTGTCTTCTTACCTATTAGTAGTCACTTTAGTGGCCCCACATTAGTGGTCAGTGGAGCAGTGCACCTACAGTATTACATTGATGGTCATTGGAGAAATGCCTCTGTTATATTGGTGGTCAGTGAAATGCCTTTTGCATTGATGGCCAGTAGAAACATGTCCCATTACATTGATGCTCAGTGACAGATCTTTCTACAAACATGGAAGTTCACATGAGGCCTATAGAGGATGGACATGCCAGACTGTTCTGGCTAAAAAATATTGTTCGGTCATAAAGGTCCATCCCAGCTGATCAACTTTACATCAAGCAGCCTCAAACAGTTGTGGAAGAACCACTGAACATCACACTGAAACAATGAAAGATCATACCACAAACAATTACATTATATTCTATCTACGGGCCAATTCATACTAGCAAGCTGACAGAAACAGTGCTGATGTGCCACTTCCGGCACATTGCACTATCTACTTTTTTTTGTTGGGACACAAGTGACATCTAACTAATTTCTCCAGACACATCACGGTGCAATGCTGTTGTACCACATTACATAGTTACATAGCATTTGAGGTTGAAAAAAACCTATAGGATCTCATTGTTAGGAGTACTTGTACCCCTGTATATTACGGTCCCTCAGGAAATCATCCAAAAGTTTATTGAACAATTCCACACTCTTAGCTGAAATCACTCTCTGCGGCAGTGAGTTCCAGACCCTAACCGCTCTAACTGTGAAGAACCCCCTTCGCCCCTTGTGCAGGAATTTTTTTTCCACCAATTTCAGGTGGTGGCCTCTAGTTTTTGTAATGGAGTTAATTTTAAATAGTTTGTCGCTAATGTTGCTGCCACCATTGAACATCTTGTACATGGAAATCATATCCCCCCTTAATCTCCTCACCTCCAATGTGAACATGTTTAAATTTAGTAGCCTCATCTCGTAGCTCTGGTCCTCCATGCCCCTAATTAGTTTGGTTGCCCTCCGCTGGACTTTTTCCAGCTCAAGGACATATTTTCTTAGTACTGGTGACCAGAACTGGACCGCATACTCCAGATGAGGTCGTACCAATGATCTAGAAAGTGGCAAAGTTATGGACTTGTCCCTGCAATACATCCCCTTCTTAATACAGGACAAAACCCTACTAGCGGTGGTGTGCGCTGAATAAAGCACTGCATGCATTTTTTTTTAATGCACACCACTGCAATGTAGTGTTGTAAACTGGACTGATTCTAAACAATGCAAGTTGCCTTGTCTTTGCGTTGGTACTGCACTGAAAAAGGATTCTGGTGCACTCCCAACACATCTGGTGTGAATAGGCCCTAACACGACCATTTCAAGGCCAAATTTTACATATTTACAGAACACACTTACCCCTCTACAATAGCTGCTCGACTGGTGCGTATTTTTCCTGGCTTATTATCATCTGAATCATACCAGTGCTTGGTGTTAAATCTTTCTTCAGGTATCTCAACTGTGCAGTTCTTTCCTTCTGCAATAACTTTCCAAAAGTTATCAATTCCCTCCCCTGTTACACAAAAATCAACACAAGAGGGTAAACAACATTAGATATCTATTCCACAGCGTAAATGATTATCATTTCAATATATAAACTTCACATGGAATGTGAGCCATATACCCTGATAGATCCCCCCATCTATACTGAATAGAATGGAGCTTAGAGGAATTAATTGCCAACAAAACGCATATGGGCATATAAAAATAAGTGAATGTGACTTTCACCAAAATTCACTGGTGGTGAATCAATCACTGTAGTTTAAAACATATGCACCACTGTCGCCACTTATCCCTGTCCTGGGGGATCTAGAAATTGTTCCTGTGTTTGAGAACAACCGTTTTCTTCGATTTCTTGCAGGGGACAAATTCCAATTGATGGATTTCTGGAAAGATTATTATTAATATTATTATACAGGATTGCGCCAACAGTTTGTGCAGCGCCTTACAAAATGGGGGAGACATTTTTTATCAAGAACAGAGGACTGGAGTTGGGAGTGTGGGGGAAGACAAAAGCTTAGAAATTGTGGAAATAGCATGGCGAGAGGGGGAGGAACCCCGACATATGTCTTAAAAAATTGAGCAGGGCCTGTCTCAGTGGCTCTCCTGCCTCGATATTCAACCTCTAGTTGACCCTCCTCTGGACCCTTGGAGTGCCTTTCAGCTTTGTCACTTCCACTGTGCAATCCCTAAACCTCAGGAGCTGGACAGCCCCTGCTCAATTTTTGAAGACATGTGTAGGGGTTCCTCCCCCTCTCGCCATGCTATTTCCACAATTTCTAAGCTTTTGTCTTTCCCCACATTCCCAACACCAGTCCTCTGTTCTTGATGAAAAATGGGAACAGGATCTCGGTATGACGTTCATGCTGGAACAGCGTGACCATATTCTTTCCTTGGCCCACAAATCTTCTATGACTAACAGCTACCAAGAAATGGGTTACAAGATCCTCGCAAGGTGCTTCAGGGTTCCATGGGTGTCGGCCCCTGACACTATATTTCACATCTTTTGGTCCTTTCCAAAAGCTCAAGCCGTTCTGGTACTCCGTCCATGCGATCGTTGCTCAGTTAACTATGGTAGATTGACGAGACAAGCCGGAGGTGTGTCTCCTTCAAATGCCAACCAGATCCCTGAAGAAGTATACATCTTCCTTCACAATGCACATAGTCAATGTGGCCAGGGCTTGTATACCACCATTGTGGAAGAGTCCTAAACCTCCTACGATTCAGATGTGGATATCGAGAGTCAATGACATCTACACTATGGAGGACCTTACTGCGTCCCTACAAAATATGGAGGGGAAGTTTAACTCCACATGAAGTGCTTGGTTTTACTTCTGATAGTCCGGCCAATAATCTCAGATTATTTCTGGACTTGACCCCTTGTGACCCACCTTTCCCATTGTTTATCTCTGTTTTTCAGTGGGTCATTTTGGTAACCCAGGGGGTGGGGCCTGCTCTTGCATTCCCCCTCTTTTCTTCATCAGTTTTCTTCTTTTTTCTACTTTTTGCTGTCTTTTGTCTCAGTTTAAAAACCTTTATAAACCTATTGAACTATTTTGCTGTACTTACCTTTGGAGCTCTTCATGGGGACCCTCTTCCTAAGCTTTTTCCTTCAGAACTCTTATTTGTCACTGAAATGTTATCAGCCTATTGTGATCTTTAATTGCCGTTTATACAACTTGCCCTTATATGCCTTGGTTGTAGCTTACTCATTGGATATTTTATAGTGCTTGCAGCATTTTTTTCTGACCAGATTGGTACGCAGGCATTGATGTGCCTTGTGTTCCCATGCGGCCGATCGCATTGTGGCCAGAAGGCATGGCTGCGGTGCCATTCACTTCAATGCACCGCCTCGCCCCCTCATGCCCCTTAACATATTGAGCCAGTCACAATCCAATACAGTGCGTTCTGGCCAGAATCGGGCCGGAACGCACTGTGGCTGGTGTGAACTGGTCCTCAGAACTGTCTAACACGGAAGATGGTAGCAAAGGAGAGCATAGTAAACGGTGTGGTTGTGTTAACACCAGATTTTATGCCATGTGTCTCATGGTTTGAAATACTCACCTCCAGGGAAATTGCATCCCATTCCAACTATAGCTATTGCATCTTCTGGGTCATCCATACTTCAGAATTTTTATAAGGTAAATGTGGACTATACACTGTAAAAAAAAAACATAAGGTTAGGAAAGGTGTTTCCAACCTGATTAATGGTGGTAAACTGAGAGAGGAACCTGTTGGAATCTCTGTTATTACATTTGCTACAATGCAGATGACATCTAACACGCTACAGTTCAAAGACCTTATGATATTTAACCCTGTTCTTACGTTGTACACAGCTCTGTCTCCTTTTTTGTGACATCATCCCTCCTCTTTCCTGCTCTGCCAGAACACTGCTCAGATCTTTTGCCGCCGGGAGTCTGTTTAAACTTGTAGAGCCGACTGTCGGCTTTACAACAGAAGCGATCCTGGCGACAATCAGATCTTATTGATATTTTTAATATCCCCTGTGATTTAGATATTTTAGAGGTACATAAAACAATTAAGATTAAAAAAACAGTAAAACTTTATTGCTTGAACTGCTGAGTAAATCGCAGTAACTCAGATCTTGTTGATATCTTTAATATCGCCTGCATAAAGCTATAAGTCATTGACACACATTCTAGTTTGACCTTATATAAGGTCATAGAGGCTGAGGGCAGTGAAGGCCAATATGGGTAGAAGTTTCAAGCCAGGGAATGCAAGTGCTCACGACTATCTTAGGGAAATATTGGATCTCCTGGGTGACAGGGCAAAAAAAAAAAGCATGTGCCCTTGTATTGCCATTGTCAGTACAATAGGGAACTGATAAGCACTGCGCTCTGTAGAAGATCCGGCATCAACTAAAGGTCTGCAAGAAATTGTGCCATTGCTGAATTGCCAGCACAAAGCAAAGACTCCACTGCCAGATGGCACACACAGTGAGCATCAGCAGTAAAAGTTCCATTTACCCTGTCCCAAACCGTAATTCTCCAGCATAACAATTAAAGATTAGTTTTATGAACAAATTGCCTGTACATGGCTTGCAATATCTTTATGAGCGCTGTGGTTTCCCAGAAACCCAGGCTCATTAATTCCAACACTTCTTGGTCACACTCTAGGTGCCCTGCTATATTTTCCTTTTGCCCAGTGAGTCCACCCATCACAGTCAGTGCTGGATTCTGGTTTTGTGCTGCCCTAGGCAAGACTAAACTCGGGCCCCCCCCACCCCCAATCTACATTTGCCCCCCCCCCTTTTCACCCTAGAGCCCCGCCTCTTCCTCGCTGTACATTAAAAGTGGATTATGAATGCCTGTGCGGGGTATCAGGGGGCTGTGCGGGGCCTTAGGGAGCTGTGCGGGGTCTCAGGGGGGATGTGCTTCAGCAATGCCCAGGTGCTGGTCCAGTGCGATTGCAAAAAATAGTGCATGCATTTATTTCATGCACTATTTTTGGTAATTTCACTGGACTGGAACCTGGGCATTGCTGTACCATGCGTTCTGGTGCGGGCAATCTCACTCTGGGCGGGTTGGGCATGTCTGCAGTGTCATTTACTTGAATGGCACTGCCACGCACCCTCCCACCCCAGTACGCAGGGAGGCTTGCTGTATGCGATCCAGTGCGTTCCCGCCCCTAACTGTCCTGGAATGCACTGGATTAGGTGTGAACAAGCTCTAAATATAATGGATCCCAGCACAAATGGCTGCCTGTGGTACAGGTAACACCTGCATACAGGTATATACAGAGGCATAACTAGAACCTTCAGGGCCCCGGTGCAGAAACCATGAAGGGCCCCCCCAACCCCCCACCACCATGGCACCGCATGGTTAACAGAAAGGATGCCGAGGTCCCCAGCAGGCGCGGGACCTCAGGCAGCCGCTTCAGTTTAAAAATTTAGTGCGGTGTTCTGTCAAGAACGCTGACCCAGTATCTGCTTTTACGTACAGACGGGATTAACAAGAAAACCGGCATTTATTTACAAAGTATTTGTTTGTAATGGTTAAATGTGACCGTTAATAATATGCCGTCCAAGGCAGTAAATGACGGATGGAATATTATTAATGGTCACAATTAATGATTTATATGAAATACTTTGTGAATAAATCCGTTTCCCCCGATAATATTGGTCTGTGCGCAAGCACAGATGCTGAAGTTGGCAAATTTGACTACGTTGGCGTTCTCGACAGAACACCGGTATCTGCGTTTAGTATCGGGGCATTTTCACGAGTATAAGTACTCGGGAAAATGCCCAGTATTAACACTGGTGTATCCCTACTTAAAAATATAATGCATTGCTGGGACTTGTCGTCCTACATAGTTGGTGCTATTCTGCATTGCTGTATAATCATCATATGCAGGACTACAAGTTCCCGCAATACATTGTAATAAAAGTCAGCAATGCTGAGTGCCACCAGCCCCCTTCCCATTACCACTCCAGACTTACCTTCCTCGTCTCGGTGACCAGGGGGCGGAGCTCAGAGAAGAGGGTCCTCACAAAGCAGAATGTGCTGCCTGGCGGTGCCTGCAGCACATTCTGCGGGACTAGGGACAGCCTCTCCAGCCCTGCCGCACAGCCGCCTGTACATTCTTCGGATGGCAGAGCGGCAGGGAAGCAATGGCGCTAACTCGGGGGGGGCCTCTTCTCCCTCGCTGGGCCCCCCCAACAGGGCCCTGGTAGTTCCGCCAGTCGGTATATATGTAATAGATCGCAGGGATCTCTATACCTGTGTCGCACAGGTATAGAGATCTATTATATCTGATCTATTATATATACCACTGGCTGTGTGAAAAGATCTATTAAACAAGTCTGCCTGTAGCACACACTGCACTTGCAGTGATCTTTCAGTGCTCCAGTCCACAGGACCCCATCCCCCACTGCTCTGCCCAGTCCCTTACCTTCAGCAGACAGCAGCTGGGCTGCCGCTGGTCCACCAGTGTTCAGGTCCCTGGGGGTCTTTGTTTCATTCTCCGGCCGTCCATTTCCACGGCTTTGCTCTTGAATGCCTGAGAGCAGAAGAATGTCCCCGCCCCAGCCTGTCAGCAGTGAGTATTCTTCTGCTCGGCTCGAATGCGGGAGAAAGTGAAAGTAAAAGCAGCAGCGGTCAGTCATTCCTTCGGCTGCTGCTGCTGTACACCCCCCTCAAATTGCTGGCAAAGACAGTGTCTTTTTCCCTTATTATTGTGCATCCCTGTCTGTGTACTTGTTTCTAAATCTATTACCTCTTACTGCCACTCTATAAAATACTGCTGAATACTATAAAGAAGTGGTGTACTGAAATTCATACGTGTTTTCCTTCTACACCAAATCACCATAGTATTTTTTGAAGGTTGTCAGAAATGCTTGCCACTCCCTTACATAACTGCCAAGAGTCACTAACATGGGCGGCACTGTCCAGTGTTCACCAACATCTATTTGAATAGATAATGATATAGAAATAATAATTATGCCATTGTTACATGTATGCCAAGGCTACTTTCATTTTATTTGTTTTTGTTGCTGTTTGCTTACAAAACACTACTGCATTTACAAGAAATCTGGCCTCACCATTTCCTTTAACAGCAATGGTAAATTACCAGGAATATTTACTGTTGTTTCCCAGACAACAAGGGCTGGGATCAATACATAAACACTTAAGTTCAGCAAGAATATTTTTGCATGTTTATGAAGTCTTTCTTGAAGGAGAACTATGAGGTGAGTGATTTTCACTCATCCTCATAGTTCTAGCTGACCTGTGACAATGAAACTGTCACAGGGCGGATCAGTAGATAGGGAAGTAAGCGAACACATACCGGCGTTCGCTCACTTCTCGACAGAGAGCCGTGACAGGGGAGGGACTGGGTTCCCCGCTCCGATCCTCCAGCGCTGACTGGCGGAACGGACGGGGCGGGTACAGCTGGCTCTGCCTCTAGATAGGCAGAGCCAGCTGTCACTCACGCAGCTGGGCGGATCCAGACATAATTGTCGGGATCCGTTTCAGCTGCGGCGTCTCAGTATACCGCGAGCTATAGCTTGCGGTATACTGAGCTAAATAGACTCTGCCCCCAGATAAATCTTGAAAAAAGTTTTATTAAACATCATATATATGGATTGCTTGAAAAATAGAATTGTTGTTCAGGAAGATACTTCCTTATGGTAGTGTGTGAATAGCCTTCAGACCTCTGCTGAACCTACACGGCATCCACTTCAGCAGCGGTTCCAGAAGAGTCAGTGCTGTAATCTCACGCATGCATGTTGTTACTCAAGCCTAGTGTAAAATCGCGACACATACAAGCTGCACGTTGCTCAAATAAAACTTTAACAAAACAGAACAACTTCAAGGAGAAACACAGGAGCTCTGTTTACTAGGAGCAGATATAGGGTTGCCACCTTTCTTCTGGTAAAATAAGAAACAGCAGGTGGACTAGGGTGCAGAGTAGGGGGAGAGGCAAATAGCGGCACGCTATGCACATCATGCCAAACTGTATAATGAGCTGAAGGACACTGTTATCTGCATTGGATGATAATGTCACCCTCTCCTTGGAGCCACAGAGGTAATCCTTCCTTCACATTAGATTCTCCCTTTTCACATCAGAGTACCCCTGTGCATCAAAAGCCCTGATTACATCAGAGCCCCCTTCATGTCAGGGGCCCCCCTTCAGAAAAGAAGCCCCTTATTTACATCAGGGCCCCCCCTTCACATCAGAAGCCACCTCTTCAGATCAGGAGCCCCCTTTTTACAGCATGCTCCCACCTTTCACATCAGGCACCTCCCCTTGACAATAGGACCCCCTTCATATTAGAGTCCACCCATCATATCAGATGTCCCCCATCACATCAGGTGCCCCCTTCTTATCAGAGTCCCTCCTTCACACCAGGAGGCCTCTTCCCATCAAAACAACAACAAAAAGTTTCCCAGCACATTCACCAGCCAGCCTGCAAAAAAACACTGTCTAACTACTACATTTAAAAACAGAGGTTTTAGTTTCACGTCTTCTGCAGAATATTTGGACGCCACACTGCCTGGTCAAGGACCCTCTGCGTAGTGTGGTCCTAACTCTAACCTCTGAGAGCCTCCATTTTAAAGCATATATAGCAAAGGATGAAGTGAGTTAAGGTGTCTTACATGA